CTTACAAAATGATTACTACGAAGATGGAAAATTTCCTTTAGTAGGTGTGAAAGAGGCTACTGACAACGCAGCAACTCTTTTAAACGAGGTACGGAAATTGAAAGATGAATATATTATCATTCATGTCCGTCATGAATTCCCGGTGGATCCTAAAGACGCTCCGTTCTTTGGAAGAGGTACCGAAGGGTCTCAAATAAATGAAAATGTAAAAAATGAGTCTGATGAAATAGTTATAACTAAAAACCACCCGAACTCTTTTATCCAGACTGATTTACAAAAGATATTAGATGACAATAAAGTTACGGAATTGATAATCGTGGGAGCTATGACACATATGTGTATACAAGGAACATCTAGGGCTGCTTCAGAGAAAGGTTATAAAGTAACTGTAATTCAGGATGCTGTGGCTACAAGAGATTTAGAATTTGATGGTGTCGTTGTTCCTGCTAAACAAGTTGCAGCTACAACATTTTCTACATTAACCTTTGCTTATGCTAAAGTAATTAAGACTGAGGAACAATTACAACTGTTGAAATGATTTCTAACTAGACTATTTTTATAACCCAATTCTTTATTTAAATATTATTGGATATAGTTCTCTTTTGGTCAATGCAAGTCATTCGAAGCAAGCTTATTTTTTTGTAGCTTATTGGAAGAAATGGTCCAATAATTCTATAAGTAATATTCTTCTCAACTTAGAAGTTCCGGTAGGTTAGTTTAATAATGAACAATTTCGGATGTACAATTCGTAAAGTTTTTGAAAATCTTATTTTCATTACGAGAAATATTGAATCCTCTCATCAAATCATGAATTGATAGCAATCGCACTACAAAATGTTTAACCTGCTTTTCTAAATGGTCTTCTATCCTAGTCTAATTGTGTTTTTTTAAGCTGAATTAAGTGTAGGCAAATATTGTGCTTTTTAAAATTAGCATGGAACTAATGAACTTTTATTAAACTCATTTCCATCTTGAAGTTCATGGACATCCAATAATTGAGATATTTTAGATGACGAGAAAGAGAATCAGATCTACATTGGTCTGCGTTAATTGTCGCAAGAAGAAAACAAAATGTGATAGGAACTTGCCTTGTTCTAGTTGTGTAAATGCCGGTATTGATTTGACTTGTGCCTATAGTTCTGCAACCTATAAAAAACCACAATTTGAAAAAAATCTTGACTTATATTCTACCGATTTAGCCCAAAACAGATATCAAAATCAAGTAGGAGAGAATAATCACTTATCAAAAGAGTTATCTGTTAATCAGAGGCTTGAAAGTTTGCGGCGTGAAGTTAAAGAACTTGAAGCTTCAATAGCAGTCGAAACACCAACTAGAACCTTGCCTTTGACTCCCGTTAATGATTCAACTTTAATAACTCAAGAAAACAATGCATACAAAAGAAGTATTAATCCTATAGCATCAGAAGAGGACACTATTAGCTTTCTTAGTTCATTCAAGCAACCATCAAGAGATAAATCTAGAAATATTTCTTATCCGTATCGCCCATTGCAATTCATTTTTTTGCTGAAGAGAGATTCTGGGGCGAAGCTATTCTTCAATTATCAAATGTCTTTGAAGAATTTCTCTTGGAGGAATTCGAAACATAACATTCTTAAGCTCAACACCATATCCGAACAAAGCTTAACGAAAACTAATGAGGTTGTTTCGATTGATCAGAAGTCTAGAGATTTTTACGGAGCCAATTATATAAGTAAAGTTGATCATAATTACACTTACTCTGAAACTATTGAAGCTAAAAAAGTTATATCAATTTATGGGATAAGTCGAGGTTTGACTTTTTGCAATGTTGAAATTGGTGATCTAGAATTAATAGATAAGGTAAAAGTGGTATTACCGAAACTAGAAATTATATCAAAGTTGTTAGATGTTTTTTTCTCAACCCTTTATCCTTTTTTTCCATTGATTGATGAATATTCTTTTAGAGATGATATTACTAGGATAGTTGTCACTGACATAAAAGGGCCAGAAGAGAAAATTAATATCGTAATTAACAAAAAAAAGGACCTCGCAAGTGTATGTATACTACTACTTGTTTTGAGAATGAGCTATCTATCCTTATTTAGTAATTTGATAAATGAAAACGAATGTGTTTTGAACCTGCAAGACGAACCGTTAGAGAATCGCCAAGACAA